TTTTTCAGAGTTTTTTATGACTTCTTTTTTTTTTTTTTTTNTTTTTTTTGGGTCCGCGTTCGGCCCAAACGGCCGAACGCATCCCCAAGGGGTCCCATACGTTCGGGCGTTTGGGTTCGGGCGTTCGGCCCGTTCTGAACGCCGGTTACCCTGTGTAAATATATATATATATATATATATATATAGTGCCAGCGGCGTGTCTGGAGTGTATTTTTTTGGCTGTGACAGACCTTTCTTTGTGTTCGTGGATGTTTTGCTGGCTTGTGATGGGGTGTGAACCGACAGTCTGTAGAGTTTTCCATCAGGTGTGGGTGAGTGATAGTCTACTTTGATTTTGGTTAAGGTAGATTATCATTTACAGTGTAATTGTGAGGGGTGAAACTCCGACGAAACAGTTTGTCACAGCCCCTCGTTTGTTGTCCTCTTCTCTCTCTGTGCCTACGGTTTAGCGGGCAGTTCTGTTTGTGACGGTATATATCATATATATTTATTTTTATTTTTTTTTTCTGGCCCAGCCGGGCAGGTGGTCCCAGGCCACTCTGGTAGCCTAGAGGGGAACTTCAGTTTTGTTTTGCGGTATATCATCCAAAATCTTTCAGGGGCATTAGGCAAAAATATTCGCCGCCGGTCTTTCTTTTTTCATGCCATTGCTTCATTTTGAGGCTCCCACCGCACATTTGTGGCCGCCTCCCGGGACCAGCTGATTCTGTTTTCATGCCAATGGACAGTTGGGCGCCAGCCTGACTAACCTCACAAGTCCGTGTAGGAAGTCTGTGTGATGATCCCACTTCCAAAAATGGGTCCCTCTTGCTACTGGTAGCTGGCCCCCATGCCCCCCCGCTCCCCTTCTGCCATCAGGGGGGTCTCGCTGAAATGCGAATATCGAAGTGGTGGGAGGACTGGTGGCGCACAAGGGGCAGTGCTACCAGTCACGTGAATGGCGGAGAGGGGAGGCAGAGACAACCATATCTGGTTTGGACACCAGAGAGAACGCTGTCACAAGGAGGGGAGGTCCTTGAAGGACGGTGAGTAGACCAGTCCTGAGAGGAGCCGGCGCTGCGCTACCGGGGGAGCAGCGCAGGCGCTAAGCAAGCTATGGAGGAACGCGCGTGGCGAGGGGGCGACGTGGTAGTGTACCGATGCGTGTGCCAGGTGGAGCGCCGCTAGCGGGCGGTGCGCTGCCAGGCGGAGTGCCGCTAGCAGGCGGTGCGCTGCCAGGTGGAATGCTGCTAGCAGGCGGTGCGCTGCCGGGTGGAGCAGCGTTAGTGCGCGGCTGCAGAAAATGAGGGAGGTGACATCACAGAGACACAGACGCTGAGCGCTGCTACTCTACAAGGGGGATGGTGGCGTCTCTAGTTGACAGAGAGGAGGGAGAGGTGATGGTCTTCTGTTCTGTTTCGTGCTGATCTCCTGGCGTCACAGGCTGGCGCAGGTAGAGAAGGGGGTTTGGTGCTTCTGCTTTGTGGCGCGAACCTTCAGGCGTTGGAAACCTCAGTGTGACCAAGGATACTTTGCTTCATGGGGTGGGACGTTCTCTTCGTTTCTGGCCAGCTTTCAGTTTCAGTGTCCTGGTGGATTTGTTGTCGGCCTTCACTCGTACTGCGTTGCCAACGACGGTAATCTTCATCATTATCATCATCGACATTTTTCATAATGTGGGGATAATGGCGGTAATTTTCATTCATCATCACCATCTTCAGTTTTATCATCGCTGTCATCATCATCATCATCGACGGATTATCATCACCATCATCATCATCATCTTCATCATTATCATCATCATCATCATCAGTATGGAGGCTGGTGCTTCCTTTGGGCCCAGCAGAGTGGGTATGGCTATCATGCGTTATCATCATCATCATCATCAGCAGCAGCATTACTGACATCATCATCATCATTATGAGCATCAACATCATCATTATAAGCATCATCATTGGTGTGTCTTCATCATCATCAGCATCATCATCATCATCATCATCATTATTGACATCATCAACATTATTATCATCATTATGATGATTATTATCATCATTATTAGTTTGTTATCATTAGAGTTTTCTCTTCAAGGCATCGCTCGCATTTCGCATCAGCAGGTGAGTGGGTCGTCATCATCATCCTCATTATCAGTATCTTCAGGGTGCTGTCCAAGCGAACGACATTTTGATGAGGGGGAGGGGGAGAGCCCAGCCCCGCAGTGGTTTCATTAGGCGGGTGGTGAGACCCTGGAGGGGGTACGGGCAGATTGTGAGGAATACTCTTTTCTGGGGCTGGGCATCAAATCCCAGCGGGGGCAGATTAGGGTAAAGGGATAGATAGGGGAATGGAGAGAATGGAGGAAGGAAGGGAGAGGGGGGATTTTTTCTGAATCATCTCATCATCAAAATCATCATCATCATCATCATCATCCATGTTATATCATGCTTTCTGGTGTGCTGTAATTCTCGGCTGTATCTGGCCTCCTTCCTTAATCGGGATATAGGATTTTAGAGATGGTCGAATCTGGACCGATATCTACAGAGTTGCTTTGTCTTTGCCCCTG